CTCACTCACTCACTCACTCACTCACTCACTCACACACACACACACACACACACACGCGCGCACACTCACACACACACACACACACACACACACACACACACCGGGCTGAATTATGAACCTCAGCGTGTAAATGTCAGTCTAACAGCAAATGAAAAGTTACGAGGCTTCATTAAAAACGCTCAGCGGAGCGACTGAGAGAAAGGTGGACTTTAGCACAAGATGCGTTTCGCTCAGAGATTCACTGAAGTCCTTAGACGAAAAATATTTTCTTGAAGTTCCTCTGAGATTTTTAATATTTAAAAAATTGACAAAACATTTGCACTTTCATGCCAGTGATATTTTAGTATGACTGAGAGACTATTATAGTTTTTATTATTATTCTGAATTCATTTTTATATTTTCAGCTTTCGTTTCAAATTTAGTCTGTTGTTTTCAATTTCATTGTCTTCATAGTTTTCATTAATTTTTATTTCAGTTTTAGCTTTACTTATTTAGGCACTTTAAATTAAACCAATTTTTTTCCCTGGCAACTTGCTGAAATAAAATAACTTTATGTGTGTGTGTGTGTGTACCTGGTATTTATCACGAAACATGGAAACACAACGTGTGTGTGTGTGTGTGTGTGTGTGTGTCTGTGTGTGTTTTAAATTAAAATGTATTTTTATTTCTGTTTACTTTTTTTTTCCAAGTCACGAAAATATATTTTTATGGTTTAACTATAATAACGGTTCACAGTTCAGTTGATGACGGTTAACGATCACACGGCACGCAAGTAAACAGATAAAATATCTTTGTTAGTAAGTGTTTTGATTGTTTTATTTTGAAATTATTTGCATATATAGGGCAACATTTACTAAATATAATGTAGAAACTTTCATTTTCTGTAAAGCTGCTTTGCAACGATTTGCCTCGTGAAAAGCGATTTGCATCAATTCAAACTTGAATTGAATTGAACATTTGTTTATTTTAATCTTCCATCAACTCATGAAGCCCTATATATGCATCTAATGAACTGAAATCCTTTAGAATGATTTCTGAAGATCATGTGACACTGAAGACTGGAGTAATGATGCTGAAAATACAGCTGCGCATCACAGAAATAAATTACAGTTTAACAGATACTCACGTAGAAAACAGCTATTCTAAATCGTAAAAATATTTCAGTTTTTACTGTATTTTCTTGTTTTTTTTAACCACTTGTTGCTGTGTGGCGTGAGCAGCAAATCAGCATATTAGAATGATTTCTGAAGATCATGTGACACTGAAGACTGGAGTAATGATGCTGAAAATACAGCTGCGCATCACAGAAATAAATTACAGTTTAACAGATACTCACGTAGAAAACAGCTATTCTAAATCGTAAAAATATTTCAGTTTTTACTGTATTTTCTTGTTTTTTTTAACCACTTGTTGCTGTGTGGCGTGATGTTAGACTGGTGTCACCTGAAGAGCTGGTGGGCTCCTGTGAGCTCCTGGAGTCTGCTCTGCAGCAGGAGGATCTCGGCTGTGAAGCGCTCCTGCGTCTCCTTCATCTGCTGCTGATAGTAGCTCTTCAGCCGCTCGATCTCCTGCCGCTGTCTCTCCTCCAGACGAGCCGAACACTCCTCAAACTCTGCCTTCAGCTCTGCAGGAACAGACGAAACACAACCGCAGAGGAGGAAATCCTGTCACCGTTTATAGTAGCGGTGGGAATCTTTTGGAAACTCACGATTCGATTCATATCGATTACTCAACTGTTTTCAACATTGATAATAATCAGAAATGTTTCTTGAGCAGCAAAGCAGCATATTAGAATGATTTCTGAAGATCATGTGACACTGAAGACTGGAGTAATGATGCTGAAAATACAGTTTGATCACAGAAATAAATTACAGTTTAAGCTTCTTGTCAGTCAGCTGGACTCACTCTCCTCACTGGAGAAATTAAATCTGATCCGTGATGCGACTGTCGTTCGGCACACTGCATTGTGCATCCGCGTTCAGTTTTTAATTGTAGTGTCTGTTCTTTTACTGAACTAAATGATTTTTATTTCTATAAAAAAATCTAAACGACGGTGGGGGTCGGTGCCACGGTGGGCAAGTGACGTAACCGGTGTTGCGGCTTAACACCGGTATCACCGTCAGCACCGTCTATCGCGGCAAGCCTAATATATATATATTTATATACAGTGTATATTTATGTTTACCTGCATCTCGTACAACCATAAAACACCATCAACGTTTTAACTTGTTGTTTTTAATAATATATTAGCTCAAAGGTGCACATTTTAGATTACCTGAGAAAACAGTTTTTTTTTTGTGCTGTGTTGGCAAGAAATTCTATTAAAAATTTTATTTATTTTTTTTTTAAATCAGAACAGTTCAATTCTTTGTAATATAATATAATATAATATAATATAATAGCAGATATTGCTGTTGAATTCCCTTTTTGCCCTTTTTGAGGTCAATTATTTATTAGGTTTATAATATAATATAATATATTGTAATGTAATGTAGAAACAAACTGAAGCATTTAAGCAGAACAGAACAGAACAGAATAGAACAGAACAACAGAATAGAATAGAATAGAATAGAATAGAACAGAACAGAACAATAGAATAGAACAGAATAGAATAGAAAACAAACTGAAGCATTTAAACGAAGATCTGTAAGCTAGATATTTTCAAATAACGTGAACATGTGTATTCTTATATAGATATCTATGTAGAGTTTAGAGTAGTAGAGTTACTAGTACACCTGTGTGTAACTGTAAATATCTGGGAGTTTTGTGACCATTCTGTGCTCATCATCCACTATTTCCAGCACTTAATCTCGCCGCTCTTCTTTAAGCATGATGAGGTTTTATTTCACATGTTTGCGTTGGCTCTCGTGTTGAGCGGTTTCATCCGCAATCATTAAAGTATTCGATTTCTACAGCGACTCATTCGGCACACATCATTCTCTTTCTATGCAACCTGGAAACCGCATTCACCAACTCTAACTCTATAGCGGTTTGCCCAAGCACTGCAATTATTTCATATTGACTAGAATTCAATCAAATGGCTTTCCCAACTTTGCGTGTGTCCTGTGCGCGCAGCTTAGAGGGAACGCTGGCCGTGACATAAATAATTACTGGGTGACAGTGTCAGCACGCTGGTGAGTAAGCGTCAGTTAAACGGAGCCGTTTGACAGTGTCTCTCTCTTTTATGTCGATGGATCCAGGGATTAAATTTCCGCCGCTACGTTCATAAAGACAATCACTTGCTTCATTCCTGAATGATTCAGCCGTTTGAACGAATCAATTGAATGAATGACTCCGTGATAAAATCAGTGACTCACCGCCACCTGCTGGTGGATTTAGTTTCATTTTTAGCGTATAATTTCAGTTATTTAAATCATATTTCTGTATTCAAAATTTTATTAGGGATGTAAGGGTATGAAAATTTCTTATCACGATTATAGTGACCAAAATGATCACGGTTATCAGTATTATCACGGTATTATTAAAATGTGCTGGAAATGTTCAAAAAGTACTGACACACAAATAATTGAAGTTTTACATTTAAAATCAACAAACAACAAATAAAATGAGTTTTTGTTTGCATAACTAAAACAATAACGTTGCAAATGATGTCCGGATTTTAAATGACAACATGACTAACAACAGTTTATCTAATAGCATGTTCAAATATCTAATGTAAACTGTGTTTTATGCTTCAGGGCTCCAGACTCATTCTTCCCACTGGTCGCTCTTTTGCGACTAGCTTTCTCAGTTGCTCACACCAGCACATGATTTGGTCGCAGTATTTTTATTTTTAGGTATTAATCAATGCATGCTGATGAACTTTTATCATAGTTTATATTTATATGGTAACGAAAGTGGTTAACATTCAACCCCTTCTTTTTCATCAGTATTATTTGTGATTTAAATTGTGAACGGTAGTTTCTCTTTTGCCAGGCTATGTTATAAGCCGGGCTTCGGGTGCTTTCAATTACGAATTCGCGATCTTGTTGTCACGTTTTACAAGAAAAGATAATTGTCTGACTTGCTTACATACATCTATACATATTTCACTTTTTAAGACTAAAACAAAAGATGGATTCATTGCTATTCTTAATTAAAAAGCATAACAACAATAAAACAGTAAGATACAATGACAAACTAGCTTACAAGACGAGGCATGGCATACACCACATACTGTATTATATACCGACTAATAAATTACAGAACGTTTAGCAAACACTGAGGAATCAAATAAATAAAAAAGAGCTTACATAGCGTAACATGAGGTAAACAGCAAAGATAACAAGCTTTTCAAAATGAAAACAAAAAGAAAAGTAAAACTAAACTTGCTGTCGGTGACAGTGCTTGCATGTTTTTTCCCCTCACAAGAATACCAGCATGTTCACCTTTGGTTTAAGAAGCGGCCTTTTACTTTACTTTAGCGCGCGGTTTCGTTTGCCGTTTGATGTTTCTCACATGCAACAGAAATGCAGCGCTTATGAGTTAAACAATGCGATGGTCGCGCCAGTGTGACCGCACACAAAATTTAGTCGCACCGGCAGAAAAAATTATCGCAAAAGGCACCCATTTGGTCGCACTCTGGAGCCCTGTGCTGTACAGTATTTATTTATCCTCAGTTGTTCAAATCGCAGTAATCGAATACGGTTATAGTGATAATTAAAATATGAAACGGTAATACTAACCGTGGGGTATTTTATCACGATTTATCGTCAAACCGGTAATCGTTACATCCCTAAAAGACAGGTGTAATCTCTGATTTCTCTTAGTACATCGCTGCAATGTCTTTTGTTCTCCTTCACCGCTTTTGCTCAGTCAATGTACCTGTTGTCCATTAGGTTTGGATCCCTGCAGACTGCAGTGTCCCAGGCTGCCGTTGGGGGTGGTGGCACAGCTGCTGATGATCTGGAGCTGTTTCTCAGCACGGTCAGCCCGGTCCAGCAGGTCCTCGATGAACTGCTGAAGACGCACTTTAGCATTGGCTTCACGCGCAGCTGTTTCCTGCAGAAACTGGTCGATCTGGCCCACCTCTCTGAGTAAGGAGGAAAAAAAATTAATGAGAATTACTGTGAGAGGATTGAGTCGTTCAGTGGTGATAGCTTGTCAGTTGCTCTTGATCATTTTTTAATGAGTATTTAGTGTGTTAAAGAGAATTAATTTATTAATACTAATTTCATATGATTGGTAACCTATTTGTCTTATTCTACTTCTTATTATATGGGGTTAAAGCAAAAAAAATCTTTTGACTGAAAATTTTCTTCGACCAAACCCCATTCCTCAGCCGTCCCTGTCACACACC